TATATCTTCAGTAGATGGTTGTATGGGAATAAGATTATGGAATCTTTAATTTTCTACTTTGCATATTTTTTAATTGTTTGAATGGTTTTAAGAACAGGTATATAATCATTTACTAAGATCAATAAAAATATTTCCACTTTAAAAATAAAACAAACAGGGCTGGGGATGTGGCTCAGTGGTAGAGTTCTTGCCTTGCATGCACAAGGCCCTGGGTTCGATCCCCAACACCACAAAAATAAAACAAACAAAAAACAAAATAGTACAACAAGACAGAGCTTGTGTGATTCCACCCAGATAAGGCTCCCAAGGTATTCAAACTCATACAGACAGAAGGCAGAATGGTGGCTGCCATAGGCTGGAGGCAGGAGGAATGGGGAGTTAATGTTTCACGGGTCCAGAGCCTCAGTTTTGCAAAGATAAGAGTTCTGTTACTGAGTAGTGGTACGGGATGCACACCAAAGTGCGTAGTTGACACTGTTGAACTCTACATGTAAAATGGTTAATAGGGAAGATTTTATGTTATGTATGTGTATTTTATGATCGTTAAGAAAAAAATGAGAAAACACTGGCAAAGTCCCATCTCTTTGTTCAATGTCTAAGTAATGGCTGTGCTAGTGGAGCCACTGCAAGCCCACAGAGGCCTGAAGACCCTCAGGACCCATAGAGGTCAACTTCTTCCTCTTGATATGATTTCTCTGGCTACATCCTGGAGATTCTCCAGTGCTCTGACACACTGATTTTTCAAACAACAGCAGGAATTCATCAACTTGCTCAGGATGATGTACATTCTAATCTGATTAATATCTGGTAAATGAAGTGCTTTTCAGGGAAATGACAGGTATGACCTTCCAATAGTCTTTGACTTCACAAATTCAAGGATTTTCTCAATTGTCCTCTGTGTTCTATATTCCAGAAATCACACTAAGACAGACAATGAAAGGAGGGGAAGGGAAGAATAGGAAGGCCTTCACAAGAAGGTGAAGGGAAGGAGAATATATGCGGCTGGTTACCTAGGAAATAAGGGCAGGACTGCATACAATTGGCTGCTTCAGAACACAGTTTCAAGGAAGCAATAGCCCCTGACAATGACAGTGTAGGCTGAGAATTTGGGAGCTGCCCTTCCCTTATTCTCTTAGTTTCCTCTACTAAACAGCAGGAGATTGAATGCTGAATGGTTTTCTGGGAAGTTGTTCAGAGGATTTCTTCTCAACCACTTTGTCCCCTCCTTATTCTAGTTAAACTGCTTGCAAAGCTAGCAGCCCATGTCTCCACGCAGTGGCCAGGCCTGCCTACCTTTTCCCTCTCTTTCCACTACATCACACACTCACTCCCCTCACTTATTGGTAATAGAAATGAACAGTGAAGTGGGCCTTGCAGAACTCGCCGGGGGCCCAAGCATGGTCCACCCACCCAGGCCCAAGTCCCCTTTCTGTTCCTCACCAAGCACTCCACCTTGGTCAGGGCTCATGTGTCACAATGTCATATCCCATGAGCTAAATGCTACAGCATGGATGCTCTCATGAAGACAACCTGAGGGCTGGACATGAGGAAGCCCCTCTACAGGTAGAGAAATGTAGAGGGTGATTCTTTGCCTGGAGTCACACAGCTACTCAGGGGCAGTGTAGGGATTCAGACCCTAACTTCCTAACATTCAGTCCCTAACTCACCCACTCAGGACACTGTTAGGCGTTGCAAGATGAGCCAGAAATAAGGTCAGGGTCCACGTCATTCTAGTAGAGACTTAAAAAGAAAAGACAAAACTGGGGGTTCAAACTCTGAGGGATCCTTCAATCCCAGTTGACCTGGCAGGTTCAAAATCAATCCCACTGCCTGCATCTCATGCCCTTGCTGTAATTCTCAGAAGAGAACAGGCTCTGAAGGTCAGGCTGTGCAGTGAATGCCCATTCGTTCCATAGGCAAGAAATAAAAGTCAGGCCCCATTGTGAAAATGAGGAGCTTGAGTGACTCAATCTCTTGCCTCAGGTCTGCTTATTAAGTTACTGCTCTAAGTAAATCCAAAAAGAGACAGCTGTCCTTTCAGACTAAAGGGTGAGCTAAGAAATGAGCATGCACCCTGGGATGTTTGGCTTCGTGGGCAGAGGGAACACTTCTTTGGCTAGAGAGACTAAGACATTCCTCTTCTTCCTTTTAATATTCAATTTCTGCTAATTTAGGGCCCTGTGATTTCTTGGTTTGAAAATGAGTCACCCGTTATTTGGGGCCTGAGGTAAAGCGAATTCTCTGCCAACGGGGGATAGCAGTGGAGGGATGGGGGTGCACACTCATTTCACACAACTTCCTTGTCTGGCCTTAAATGTGGAGGAGGTGTGAGTTTTGGGTGCTGCATTTAAGAAAAACATATTAATGCCACATTCAAATATGGTCGTGGCAAGCTGTGCCTCATGACCACACACCCTTTTTATTCCTGTATTTACTACTAGAACAGCGGTGGCAGAGATGAGGGATTAGCACCAGCACTTTGTTACTAAGAGTACTTTCTTACTAAGAGTAACCTGTGTCTATCTGCAGTAACTCAGTTACCTCAGAGATCCACAGATGATACAAAGAGCTTGCTAGAGAAAAAACAATGTGGAAGAGAAAATAAGCCACATATCCATCTTGACCCAGGAAGAGAGAAAGAAGATAGCCAGAGTACCCAGAATACAGTGGAGATCTTTGGTAGTGGGGGACCCTGCTGTTTCTGCTAGCCCAGCACCCATGCCCCTTGCCTCTGATACCTGCCCCTCAGAATTCACTGAAGAAGCCACTGTAGGGCAAACCCAGGCTTGGCCTACCGGGCCACAGCAACCCTCTGCACCGCTGTCCTTTGGTTTGCTACGTGAGTGAGGGAATATGCCTGACGCCCTTTCAAGCCACAGCAATTAACAGCTGCAAGGCTTTGTTCAAAGCCAGACTTGAACGCAGCACAGAATATCTATCATCTGTACCTCTGTGTATGAGAATAACTGGGATCACATATACAATTCAGAAAGTTCCAGAATACAAATGCTATTGCCCGGTACAGCAGGTCTGTGAAAGCTGAGTTTATTTATGGTGAGCGAGTGGGAAGGCCCATCGTATTTTGAAATGATGACTGTGTTCAAGAAATTAGGGAGGCACCAAAATGTCTGAGGGTCACTGAAAGGCACGCTTGCCCAAGCTCTCAAGTCAGCACCAGCTGCCCAGGCAAAGCCTCTGGGGAAATTTCTGGGCCCTGTTTGGCATAATTTGGCCCAACAAACCTGCTTCTGGGGGCTGGTGAAAGGTCCTCCCCTTGGCCCTGCACATGGCAGCAGGGCTCAGCACCAGGGAGTACCACCCAATCCCGGTAGTCTGAGTGGCAACAGCAGCCTTGCTGAGCTCCAGGACTGGAGCACCAGGCTAATTGATTATGCTTTGGGGACCAAGCCTGTCCTGTCTATACCACTGTTAGTGACAGCTGAGGCCTGGCTAGAGTCCTTAAAAGGACTTGAATGGAAAGCAGCAGCATCTTTCCAAGACAAAATTGATAAGAACACAGTGTACAAAATGAGATGAAAATGTCCATTTCTCCTCAGCATGGCTATACAATGGCTAAACCTAGGGTTTAAACAGATGATTTCCTTCCAAGGAAACACAAAAAACAAAAATGACCTAAATAACCAAATGCACAACTTACCTTGTGTGTATCCCTAAACTTCCCCACCAAAGTGGTATTTGCTGGCAGAGGTTTCCCAAGCCCAAAAAGAATTCCTAAACCAAAATGCTTACTGTGCACTTTGAACAGAAATAAAAGCAAGCTAGAGACCTCAGCCTTAGAAACAGGCCCGAGTGGCACCATGGCAATATTTTGGTTACACTTACTGACATGCAATTGTGGCATTCAGGGACAACTGCAAAGAAAATCACGGGGCCAGTGGGATGTGGGAAAGTGAGCTCTGTATCACTGCTTCAGGCAGTGGCTCTGTATTAGAGCTCCAGATGCACTGGACTAGGAGCTGACATAGTCCCAGCTGATGGGACTGGGGAGAGCTGGCTTCAGAGAGGCCACTGCCGGGCAAGGGCCCAGGAGCTGGATGTAGTAGTATATCCCATGGCCTCTGCCCCTCAGGCCACGGCTGGGCAGGTGAGGAAAGGCTACATTCATCCCAGGGAGGTGTGGCTAGACCTTCCCTCCAGGAAAGCAGAGTCCCACTGCGACCAAGCGGAGTCCCCACCATCACGCCTCCTCACCACCCCAGTGTCTGGGGCTGCGGCCAGAGGCCCCATCTGTGGTGGCTGTGAGCCTCATCCATGACATAAACAACTGGCTGATTCAAGTGTGTCTAATCCCAGAGCAAATGCTCTCCAGGTCAGGAAGGTTTTGCATCTATAGGAAAGGGGGGCAAAGAAAGCAAGGTGAATCATTCCTGGCCCAGGTAAAGGAGGAAGGGCTCTGCTTACCAAGCATATTATGTACCACACACAAGTGTACCTCACTCCAAACAAATGGGACTTCTGAAAGCACCCCATGGAAGAATCTGGGGGATTATATTTGATTATGTGACTCCTAAAACCTATAATCTATTAAAAGCACATAAGTGCATTAACCATGAGCTCCTCTTTCTTTCCACAGTGCAATGGACCCAAATCATAATCCCAAGGTATTGGGAGTTAGAATGGCAGCGATAATGATGAAGACGATGGTAGTAATACTAGTGATAGTAGTAGGAGCTACAAATACTTTACAGCATTTACCACGGGCCAGGTACTGTTCTGAGCAGGCTAGATGCACTGTTTCACTTGATTCCCTTAATAACACTATCAAGTGGGTAATACTTGTGAAGCCTTGCTCCAGGTCACGCATCCAACAAGGGTGGGACCTGTCCTGGGTCTGCTATGACGGCCCACAGCTACCTCTGAATGGCTGGACTGTCCAGAATGAGGTACACTGGTGGGCATCAGGAGTGAACAGAAGTAGGATAGAGGACAGGACAACAGCCTTGCTGGCTGGTGAGGGTGTGGTTCCAGGGTACACTCACCTTCACTCTCCCCACTTGTCTTCATGCCTTTTGAACCACCCTCTGTACCTTTAGCCTTCTCGGCGTCTTCCTGGGCATCCTCGGCAGGCCCTTTCTCCTCATCTTCTTCTTCCCCAACGTTTTTGTAGTTGGGTCTCTTTTGCACTCGCCTCTTGCCCTTGTGCTTGTTCATCTCAAGGGACCGCTCAAGCGTCTCGGTGGGTTTAATGAAGCACCGAATGCTGGGCTTGGCCTACGAATTCCAAGAAAGGCAACAGATGAATTGTAATGCTAGAATCTCACTACATGCTAGCAAGCTACCCAACAGCGTCTGCCAAGGAAATTCATCTTCAAAATAACAAATGCTGGTTTAGAATTAAGACCATTACTAACATCATTATCATAAAATAACCAAAACAATAATACCAGCTACCATTTATTGCTGCTAAGTCAGAAATACTGTATTTTATTGTACTAGCTCTTTGCTCCCCAAACATTAGTTGTTTACATAGGAAAACTGCTTCTGGATGATGTTTTTATGTATTTTGTATGCGGTACCTGCTATGGGCTTTAACCATATTATCTCATTTAAACTCTATAGCAACCCCACAAGATAGTACTGCTGTTGTCCTCATTTCTTAGACAAGGAAGCCAAAGCTCAGAGACACTGAATGATCTGCATAGCCTGATGCTGCATAGCCAGGAGAAGGCAGAGCTTGGACTCAAACCCGCACATCTTATGTACAACCTGTACCTCAACTAAAGTATACTGATGTTATTACTAACTCTTAAGTTCATTTTAAAAGAAACTGCATATCACTACAGGAAAAGGAACAGCCAGGTGTTTTGCTATTACAAAAATAAATAACAGAAAAGGCAAGATGTTCTGGATATAGCCACATGCTTGGTGTTATGGTCTAGATCTAAAATATCCCCCAAAATTCTCATGTGTTCTGAGGTGGGGCTTTTGAAAGGTGGCTGGGTCATGGGGATGCACTACACTCATCAGTGGATTAATCCATTTGATGGGTTCATAGCTGAATGTGCTAGTAGAAGGTAGTTGGGAGATGGCCACTGAGGATATGACCTAGAAGGGTACATTTTTGTCCCTGGCTTCTCCTGCTCTCTCTGTTTCCCAGCTGTCATGGAGTGAAGAGCTGTCCTCTGTCAGGCCCTTCCACAATGCTATTTCTGCTTTGTAACCAGATTACCATGGACTAAACCCAATAGAACTGAAGCCAAAATAAACTTTCCTGCCTTAAATTACAAGTGTTATGCTGGGCGTGGTGGTGCATGCCTGTAATCCCAGCACTTGGGAGGCTGAGGCAGGGGGATTGTTGCAAGTTTGAGGTCAGCCTGGGCTACAAAGTGAGCTCAAGGCCAGCCTGAACTGCATAGCAAGACCCTGTTTCAAAAAAAAGATAAAACAACAAAAAACAAATGTTAAGTATTTTGTTCTAGTGATAGGAAAATGACAAACACACTGAGTCTCCTCAGAAGCTGAGCCTGGTTAATCATCAGAGATGGCCCAAAGATCAGCATGTTCCACACAAAAAAGTTTCTCCCTGGAAAAGGCAGAGGCCTCAATGAGAAATAAAAATGGTCCCTGTCACATGTGGTTCATATCCCATATTCCTGGATCTCAGTCTTTCTAATAATCAAGATAAAGAGGAGTTAGCAATCCATTTCAGGTTCAAGAAAACCAAGGCCCAGAAGAATTAAGAGACTTGCTGAATGTCACTCAGCTAGTGGAGCTACAGAGCAAGGATGTGAAATCCAAAGAGCAAGCTCTTCCTAAAATAACTGTTTCACCAAGCACTTAGACTAAATTCCACATTTAGCAGTCTTTAAAAAGTACACACATGCTGCCCGGTGTGGTGGCATGTGCATATAGTCCCAGCTCCTTGGGGGACTGAGGCATAAGAACTGTTTTGAGGTCAGAAACTTGAGATCAGCCTGGGCAATACAGTGAGACCTATCTCAAAAAAAGAAAGAAGTACATACATGCAAACAGACCATGTCTAGAAAGGAGCAGAGATGAAAGGAAATTGATTTGTTTGGGGGCAGGATTTTGATTGAAACGTTTGTCTCTTTCCAGACTCTGGATAATGTTCAGACATCATTTTGTCATTAAAAAAAAAAGTTTCAGAATAAACTTTTCCATTATCTTGATATGGATTATCTATCTCATGAATCTACCCTAAAAAGCCACCATCTGTATTCTGGGGGCCACTGTACCTTGCCAATAAGTGGTATGTGCTCAAGGAACCCATTAATTTCAATAATGCTCAGAAGAAAATGCAATTGAGACCTAAATTAGCATCCAAATCCAAACATTCATTTTTATTTACCCGTTTTAGATTATTCAACCACAACAGTGACAGACAAATTGAGCCATGATGCCACTGTGCAGGAAACACAGATAGTGTATTAGAGATGCCAACAACCCAGAGCTCGGGGATGAGAGCATTCCAGCATACACTGCTTGACAGACAGCATCCATCAGAATCCACTCAAGATGCTGTACAACTGAACACAGGGCCCCAAGACGAAGTGACTCACTTCCTCCCATCACTGCCTATCCCAGTGAATTAGCACATGCCACACAGTGGCTGAAGCTGTCAGACACAGAAAACCAAGACCAAACACAGCAAAACACTGCCTGTTAGAAGCAGTGAGCAGAAATCCACACATGCCAAGTGTGGTGGCACATGCCTGTAATCCCAGCACCCGGGAGGCTGATGCAGGATGACTGCCACGAGTTCAACACTAGCCTAGACTACACAGCGAGTTCAAGGCCAACCTGAACTACATAGTGAGACCCTTTCACAAAAAAGCAAGAAAAAAGAAAGAATTAAAGAAAGCCACATAGGTGGATGCAGAAATCTTTCCCTAGGCTCTTTACAGAATCAGATGTTTAGGACACCTGGCAGAGTGGAGGGAATTGAAACAAAAGGCTCAGGGCTTGGGCCATCAAAGAGCAGCTGTCTCATTGGGCTCCTTGTCTCAAAGATGGGGCATGTCCTTCTGGGTGTGTCAGACCAAATGCACTCATGGAATCTGGGCATGGTGACACATATCTATGGTCCCTGCATAAGGGAGGCTGAGGCTGGTGGAGGATCACTTGAGCCCAGGAGTTTCCAATTGGCCTAGGCAATATAGAGAGCTTGGGGATGAGAGCATTCCAGGGTACGCTGCTTGACAGACAGCGTACCCACTCCATGGAAGGAAGGAAGGAGGGAAGGAAGGAGGGAAGGAAGGAAGGAAGGAAGGAAGGAAAGAGAGAAGGAAGGAAAGAGGCAGGAGAGAGGGAGGGAGGGGGGAGGGAAGAAGGGAAGGAAGGAAGGAAGGAAATATATTCCTTCAGAGCTGGAGTACAGTTCAGTGGTATAGCACTTTCCTAGCATGAACAAGGTCCTGGGCTTGATCCCCAGCACAAGAAAAGGAAACAGGAGAGGAGCAGGAGGAGAGAAGCGGGGAGGGGAGGGGAAAGGAGGAGAAGGAACAAAGAAGAAGAAGGGAATGAGGGAAGGTGGGGGAGAGAGATCAAGACAGAGCTCCTTCAGAGCATGAGGAAAGAGTATCCAACACAGGACACTTATCTTCTGGTACTGCCTGCAACCAAAAAGAAAAACACAAAGAAAAAAAATCAACTATAGGAATGAATTTAAGTCAGGTGTGGTGGTGCACGCCTATAATCCTGTTAGAAGCTAGCCTGGGCTACATAGTGAGTCCAAGGCCAGCCTGGTCTATATAGCAAAACCTTGTGTCAAACAAACAAACCAAGCCAGGCGTAGTGGTGCATGTCTGCAATTCAAGCGTTGGGGAGGCTGAGGCAGGAGGATCACCATGAGTTTGAGGCCAACGTGGACTACACAGTGAGTTTAGGGCCAGCCTGAACTATATAGCAAGACCCTACCTGAAAACAAACACACAAACAAACAAACAAATAAAAACCAAAAACTTTCCAAAGGGATCTGATTTTCTTGATCACCAGGTGTCGGGGTAGAAGAGGGGAAGGAAAGAAGGCACATGGCATGGTGTACAAGGGACAGCACACTTTCTTTTTTTTTCCATTTGATTTCTAATCATGTACACATATTAACTTAAAAAAAAACTCAACAAGGGTAAACTGGACATAGGGCTTATGGTAAATTTTGTTTCCTTTCTGTTCTTTTATATTTCAAAAATGGATTTTCCCTTAATACCAACATCATCAAAATACCAATTACCAAAGAGAAGCTGGTAGAACTCAGCTGGGAAATATGGGTAGAGATTTACCAAGACTCCTGCTACTCCTGCCAAAGTCCTGGTTGCTGGCCTCCCCGGAATCTTCCATTATGCTGGGCCATGCAGGACGTTCCAGATGGAGAGTCCTCACTCACCTCCTCCCCACCGTGCCCACAGCACTCAGCCATGGGCCCAAGGAGAGTAGCAGCTCACCAGGTGCTGCTGAAATGCAAGCCTGCAGTGGTTAAGTGCCTGTGCCATTCTGTATCGAAAGGGAAATCAAGAATAATGGATAAAGGAAAAGAAATGGAAGGGGAGACAAAAAGAACCAAACACCCCCAGGAGTTGAATCCATGAAAGAGCAAGCCCAATGAAACTAACCAAAAGAAGTGCAGAAGCCCACAAGCCCACTCTACAGCCAAAACTCAGAAGACCTTTGGGCTTTTCTTCTTGACCAGAAAGGACACAATGCATGCCCCTCAGGAGAGGATTCCACAAACAAGGTCTCCATCTCTCTCTCATACACCAGAGGTTTGGGTTTCACCAAGGGCCCATCTCCCTGGGCCCAAGTGAGGCTGCAGGAGGACATGGAGGGATGCAGCCTCCTTGCTGACTGTATTGGCTCAGTCAGGCACCCGCCTAGGAAACAATGTGGCCTGGAGCTCTGTGGCTGGAGCTGGGGCTAGCTCCTGGGATCAGGGCCCGCTCAAAGTTGCAACAGGATTTTAAGGGTGGTTCAAAGGTCTAACTCCTCTCTGAAGCATGTGTACCGCCCGGCTGGCTAATGCTGCCTCCCCAGCCTGGCACTCCTCCAACCTAAGGCTTTGGTCTTTGCTTTGGGGAAGGAGAATCTTCAGGGGTCAGCAAGGACCCAGGCCTCTCAGAGAATGGGGGGATCAGAGAGCAGACCCTGCAAGGGTTGATGACAGGGGTCAGGAGAGAGGATAACAACAAGCAAGATGCGACTGCCTGGGTGGAGGAGATGAAGTAGCACCACTGAGGAGACAAGGTCACACACAATGT